CAGCAGCCACACTAGTTGCCATAGAAATCAGGAGATACATGCCTTTAATCCCAGCCCAGGAGAGGATTACAAAATAGTAGGAGACAGCTCTCAGTCAGTCCCATTCTGAGATCCTGGAGGTAGGATCACCATTTTGGACTGAGGTCGAGGTAAGAGCCAGTGGCTGGATGTTTTACTTTTCAGATCTTCAGGTCAAACCCCGATTTCAGTTTTTATTACTCATGCTTCAGATGAGTCTCCAAATCTGATCATGGGAAGTACTACCAGCATTAATTAGAACCCAAGCCAGGAGGAGCTTTCTTTGCTTCACAAGATGATGGTTGATTACCACCCAGTTTTGTTTTTGTTTGTTTTGGGTTTGGGTTTTTTGTTTGTTTTTTTGAGACAGGATTTCTCTACGTAACGGCCCTGGCTGTCCTGTCATTTGCTCTGTAGACCAGACTAGCCTCAAACTCCAAGCTCAACTGCTTCTATCTCCTAAGCACTGGGTTTAAAAGACAATTTTATGTTTTTAATTTCATTTTTGCATTTACTATATATGTGAGGACAGCTTGTGAGAGTCAGTTCTCTCCTACCATGTGGGTCTGACAGTAGAACACAGGCTCTCAGGCTTGGCTGCTGGCACCTTTGCTTGCTAACCCATTCTGTCAGCCAGTTTTCTATGTTTTATAATTGATGGATAGCTGATAAGAAACTTTATTTTTAATCATGTAGGCCTGGGACAAGATTCTAATCAAACTGTGTACCAAGGTCTGCCATCTTTATTCAGGACCTGGGATCCTTTTCCTTTTTCTTCTCTTCCCCATTCCCTTTCCTCACTCTTTCTCTCTCTTCCTCTTTCCATCTTTTTCCATGTCTCCCCTTCTCTCTTTCTTGATCTCTCTCTCTCTCTATCCCTCTCTTCCTTTCTTTCTCTGTCTTTCCACAACAATTAGACCACAGCTACTGGCAAGCTTCAGGCCTCTAAACTACAGGCACCAGTCATGCTGATATAGAGACAGTTGTTTTGTTTTTGTTAACTGACCTCCCAAAAGAAGAAGTGGAGTTGGGTCTACTAATCATCTGAAAAGAACTTTGGCCAGGTTTTAATTGCTTTTAATGAAGGTTATACATAATGAGAACATATTGTAAGCATGAGTCTGTTTAATCATTCACATAGTCACGACGGAGGATGCGTTGGGCACCATTTTCTCCATAGGTTTCCTGCCAGGAAATCAGAACAACTGTCATTTTGAATCTGTGAGAGATACCCTGGCCTGTTCAGATCGTGGAACTCCAGCAAACAGAGGGACTTGGGGCTCTGTTACAAAAAGAAGTGTGGCCAATGTAGGTGACCGAATCACAATGGACATAGCACAGCTGGGACTTCCAACTTGCCGTGACTAAAAGGAGATTTCTCTGAAACGGTTCCCTCTTGAAGCAAAGGGAACAGAGTTCACATGCTTCAGGTGTCTGCATGCAGCCTGTGGATGCCGCCTCACGTGGCCAAGGAAGACTATAAACGCGACCCCAAGCGAAATCTATAAATTTCAAACATGAGAACTTTTTCTTGAGATTCTTTGGGGGTGGGAGTGTGCCAGGCTCCACGCCCCCATGTCTGCGCTCTGTGTGCTGGCACCCAGTTTGCGAGCGTTGGGCAAGGGGCTGGAGGTTAAAATACACAGACACACAGAGAGACAGCGACATGGGTCATCCTTGAATTCCCCAAGAATGCCCCCTTTATTGTGTTCAGGGGCAGATTATATAGAGATAGCCATGCCCCAGCCAAACCCACCAGAAACCACTCTCCTGCCATCAGGAACTCCTGAAGGTCTCGTGCTCAGAGCAGCTGTAGGCACGCAGATCAGGGGATTACAGGAAATTCAAGATCTGGGGTCTCACTGCTCCCAACAGGGGTGAGTAATTTGGTTGTACAGGTCTCCAGCATGAACTTCACAGGTCACAATGCCATATTGTAATTGTGATGTCGAAAACTTGGACACACTGCTAGGGGGAACCATCACTGCAGAGACCCAGAGTCCCTTCCCTAAAAGACCAGAGACCTCAGCAAGCAGCAGTGTCTGCTGGGAGAAGCATGGCGAGCTCCACGGCACGTCATTTTCCTGGAGAGTGTTATCGTGATTCATCTGAGGGTACCAGCACATGACGTCAGAGCGTGCAGAAACAGTAAAGTCAAGCAAGGTGCTCCTAAGAGAGCAACCGTAGGAAATGTCTCTATCAGTAACACCATCTTTACACACAACGGACAACTTGTGTTCTCTCAGAAAGCAGGGTGGAGTGGATAATAACCTGTTTTATTTGTATAAAAGAAAAAAAAACTATGTAGATGGAGGAAGACCTGAGCAAGTTCCGACTGGTGAGTTATTATATAATAATGAGGTTGCAGGAGGAAGCCCAGGTGGAAATGCCAGAGACTCCTCTGTATAATTACAAATGGGATCCATGGCAGAGGCAGGTGGACTAGTGTTGAAAGCTTTCGCAGCTAGAGGAGAAGCAAGAT